ATAATCCTCACTCAAATAGGATCAAATAAATAAGGCTAGTCAAGTTTCGATCTGATAAAACTCCGCGTAAAAATGTTTTCAATTTATTTTAAAACTCACATGATTATGTTGTTCTCACTCTATAAGGCCGATTTTTTACGGGTTTTTTTACCGAAAATCCAGCAAATTTCGTTTCGATTTTGATGTGTGAACTTCGAAGAAAGCTCCCTCAGAACGCAGGAAATCGCATTTCCGAGGTCCTAGATTTCCCGGGGGAGGATTCCCCCGGACCCCCCTGCAAATGCGAGGTTTAGTGCATCAGTCAACAAAACCACTGGATCCGCGCCTGCTTGCTTCATTGTTGTAATTTTATTATTTTAATTATGCTTCTTGGTATTAATATTAATGAGGTTGTTTTTGTGCTGCATTTTAGGTACTGTAATCACATGTCAAGGCATACCAAGTTTGAGAGCTTATTTTGGGCCGAATATGTTTACCGAGTGAACCACTTGGAGCAATAGGACAAGAATACAGTTACAGATAATTTTATTTTACCAAATCATGTAATTTGGTGTCGACAATTGATTGTATACAAAAAACTGTGGTATTAAAATGTTGGTCTGCATGTCCCTTTGGTAAGCACAACGAGTGCCGTCACTGCCATGTGCATCTTTAAACATCCTTGTTAGCAGCAAGTGGGTTCAGCAAAGAAAATTATGGAAAATTTAGCTCTACCAATTGAGAAGTGGATTTGGATGTCCTGTTAACATTCAGGAACATCTTTTAAACCAAACATCAAACTGCGGAAAAGCCAAATGGTGATGCAAGACATAACAGCATTTGGACGCAATGGTAGAAAAATCAAAATTTAAAAGGATTCTTATTATAAACAAGTAAATCTTGAAAAAGAAATGACTTCACATGACAATTGTATGATGAGGGATGCCCAGCACAATTTTAATTGTCTAAATATAGAGTATAGTGTATATCTTAACAGTTGGTAGTTCATATTTGATAACTTTTACTTTATACCCATTTTCCCCAAATGTGGTATTTTTGTCTTTTAGAAAAGATAATTATTTACCAATTTGACCAAACTGGCTGAAATTTTCAGTGTTGATAGAGCTCATCATGATAAGTGTTTTGAGTGATAGAATTTGGCATATGTTGTATTGCTGCCATTTTATCGAGGCAATATGCCAGGATTTTTGGAAGAAAATCGAACCAAAGTTTTGCAGCAATGCTGTGCAAAAACTACATGCAGCATAAAAAATTCCATCGCTCAAAACAATCTACTTGCTTTGTAGTCAACAAATAGCTTGTAGTGGTAAAATTTGATTTAAAATGGTAAGGCTGTATTTTTTCTCAACTAACAGTGATGTGTATGAGACATACACTGTGTTTAATTACTAGATGGCAGGATAAATATTAAAGGTATGAGAAAGACCTTAGTACTTTTAGAATCTATGTTAAATAAGCTTTCTAATGATATATAGTTTTGTACAGCTATCTAACAAACTTGGTGAGTAATAGGCTTGCAAATGTGGTCAACCGAAATATTGCAAGTTTAGGTAGACCCCCACCTTGTAAAGGGCGTTCAAATTAAGACATTGCCTTAGTTTTAAACATAACCCCCACCCTAACCCCTAACCCCCCCCCCCCTAACCCTAATCTTAGTCTAATCCAATCCAAATCAGGCGACCTTTTTTTTAAAGTACCACCCCTGCGCGTCCAGCCTCCCTTAGTCAGCTCGATCTCTTCCTCTAACCCCCCCC